CCATGGCTTGATGAGTTCAGAATATTTTTCTGGTTTACACTTCTCCAACCTCAGCAGCACTTGTTCGTCCTCAGTGCTGAGCTCAGGACGAATACCTGAAAAATAAAGTAAGGCAGGACAAGATCAGGTGGGCTCTCCAAATTTGAGCTTGGATAGTTTGAGCAAGGACTTACCCAAGTTATCGGGGGCAGACCAGGTTCTAGGAATGGGGAGAGTATCTGTCTTATCAGCTAGGTTGTACTCCCAGTGTTCTCCCCACACAAAGAAGAAAAGTTTTCTCCAGCCCTTGTGGGAGCTCAGGAGGTCAAAAATAATCTGTTTAGCCTTTACCCGTTTAAAAATATACAAGAAACCATCGGTAAGGGTATACTTAACATCGAAAAGTTCTATTAGTAAGGAGACAGTAGGAACACCGAGCTTGTGTAGCTTGAAGAAAACGAGACCCACTAGGACACCCCAGAAGTTGGGAGACAACTGAGCAGGGCAGACGTTGAAATGTTGGAGGACACTTTTAACAAAAGGGTGTAAGGGAAAGTGCAGACCATTCTCAAAGGCAACAATAAAGAAACAGACCTTCTTTATGGACCTGGGAGACATATGGGATAAACTTATCTAGGCACCAGAACTGAACTCTTAGGGGAAATCTGTAGCGAGCACTAAGGACCTTCATTAGAGGTGGGCTGACCTCACTGGGGCCTACGAGCTCAACAGCTCTAAAGGCAGCCCCTGCATCTTTGGCACTGCCTGAGACACCAACTCCGATCACCTTAGTCTTACCCTTACTAGAATTTTTGGGTGCAAGGGGGCAGATAGGGGAGTTTCCTCGGTGTGTCCCTCGGCTTCAGCAGAATCAACCCCAGAGAATTTGTCAATTTTCTCACCTACCTCGCCTAAGTCCGAGGTGTCCTCAGCAGTCCTATCCCCCAGAAGGGAAACAAAGGAAGGGGTGGCTTCAAAAGAGGCAGACATGGTGGGGTAGGAAAAAGGGAGTCAAAAGATACGATAGAGGAGAGGAATATTTGTGGAACACTCCCTAAGGGTTTGGGGAGCAACACAACAACTCCCAATAAGGAAGACCCTAGCGGTAGAATAAGGGTCCAAGAAGAGAGGAATTCGAGATAGCGATCGACCTCGGTTTCTAAAATAATAAAATTGAAAGGTCCAAAAATATAAGAATCACCTCAAATCTGAGGGATCCAAAACGAAGAGACAAATAGAGGTTAAAAAATGTGCCTAGGAGAGGAGGAACAGTAAGCCAAAGCCAGAATCGGGGGCAAAGAGCAAATCTCGTCGAAACCTCAGATCAAATCAGGAAAAATCGTTTCCTCAGCGAAACCCTAGTGGCACCAGCAAAATCAAAAAATTGAAAGTCAGAGGAAGAAGAGAGGGAAAAAGTACAGAGAGGGAGTTCAAAGGACGTAATAAACCGCTCCCCCTCAATTCAGAAGCATTTAAAGCTAACAGTACAGAATGGAAAATATGCACGAGAAACTAGGAAGTTAAATGATTGCTTGAAACGGTCAAAAACTTGTTCGTGCACAAATCGAGGTCTACATCTAAAGGTCAGGCCTGTTTAAGCCTCAGCTCAACCCCCACTCAAGTTCACTTGGAGTAAGGGCTGGGGGGCAACTGATATTACTTAGAATAATTTCCAAGCATTAGGTCGAACCAGGAGGTCAAACAAGCAAATTTAGAAAAGAAGTCAGAAAAGACATGCAGAGCCCAGGTCAGAGCTAGAGTTACCCCCCTAGGCGCACCAACAACAAAAGTGATAAGGAAACAGCTAGATGATAACAGAAATCTGTTAGGTGGCAAAAAGTCATATTCAAGGTATAAAATCTTTAACCAGCCAAGATCCTCTCCTAAGATTAAGGAGAGTTCATCGGATAAATAGCAAGGATCTCGGTGCAGATCCCATAGAACTAGGAACAGCCCTATAAATATTATGTAACTCTCCCAAAGCAGGGGGAGAAAAAACTCTAGTAACATATACTCTATCCTGTAAACGTTCTGAATGAGGAGTAAAGAGAAAAGGAGCAAAAATCTCTATTGAATAGTGGATTAGCCGAGCTCCCAGGCTGGTGAATCACTATAATTCTATTGCGTCAATCCCCCAATTCCCCATCGATACCAGTCCCTGCTCTTTCGAGCCTTGTAGCTCAGATCCTAATCATTCCATCTGCCCATTACCATAAGTTTGCACCACGTTGATTTACACCATCAAACGGGTTTTGGAAATCAGGGCGGAAATAAGTTTCAGTCTATAATTGTTTTCATTCCTACACGGGTTTATATGAATATTTTTATATATGTATACCATTCAATATGTATGTTCAATCCTCAATCCAAACGAGGTGGGCTTGAATGAATCCTCGTTTCCCCTCGGTTCACTGCTATCCCTAACGAGAATAATTGGCCCAATTATTTTCATAGGGTACATAAATGAGTTTAACTGTAGTACCGAAAAATTATATTATAATAATTTATCTCCTTTTTTTAGCAAATTAAAATGTGTCATGTGTAAATTATTTATTTATTTTATTATCTTTATAATCAATGACAGCCAAATATATTAATCTAAATCTATTACTTCTGATCCCTTTTAATGGGTCTTAAGCCATTCCTGTGTAGTAATGGGCCTTAAGTCAATTCCAACAAAATGGGTTTATGGGTTTTACCGTGAGGATGTACACAGCTTATAATGCAAAGAAAAATGGAAAATACAATATCAGTAATACTATATTGACCAAATTTTAAGATCAAATTTAGAGTTCAAATAACATGGTAGCTGATTTGAGCTTCTTTATTTGGTTTCATGTCATTTGGGTCCCAATAAAAACTCCAAATAATATGTTGTCATGTCATTTAGGCTCCAAATTTGATTTTAAAATTTGGTCAGTATAGCATTATTGATACAATATAACACAAATTTTTAACTTAAATTTGTATCCCAAATGAAAGGGACCATTGGATGAGTAGGTCTCATCAACTTTTTTAAATGAGATCCACTAATCCAATTGTCCCCTTTATTTGAGATGCAAATTTGGATTGGAAATGTGTGTGTGTATTTTTTTGTGTATTAATGTGTGTATTTTTTTTAGTATATTAGTGTGTGTGTGTGTGTGTATTTTATTTGATATATTAGTATGTATTTATATTTAGAGTTTTAATTATTTTATAAATTAACAGGTTTAACTCAACTCATTGTGATCCAACCCATTATAGCCCATTTATTAAGCGGATTGAAAATGAATTGAATTTATTTTGCACCCTACCCAATTTAGAACAACCCAACCCAAGCCTTCAATTTCACCTCTACTTATCTCCCACCACTTTCAAACGAAAGTTTGATCATAGTAGTTTTTAGTTTTGGTATAACAGCCTTTATGTCATAGTATTTAGTAACTAATGATGGATAAAAGATAACTATAACACATAACCATGTTGTCAAATATGACGCACGTGTGCTCTAATTAATAAAAATTCTGTTGTAGATCATTGCATTTAACATGTACGGACATATCAACTAATACGGATTTTGTCGTATTCTGTCACTTTTAATGCATATTTATTTTATGTTGAAGTTTATTTAAAATCTAGCTTTAGAAGTGAAATATTAAAACTTCTACTCTTATAAATAATTTGTATAAACCACATATTAGTAGAATTTTAATTTTCTAAATCGTACTTATTTATGATAATCCCCAACTCTTATATGATTATCAAACAAATTCGATTCACGGGAATAAATCGATTTACTATTTAAGTTTCTAAACCTAAATTGCAATATCACAAAAATATGTTTTCAAGCAAGATTATTTGAATTCTCATTTCCGATACCACGAATCCAATAGCAAATTTCACTTGGGGTGGGCCCCAACAAAAGGACCTTCAACACCCCCCACGTGGCTATGATTCATTGGCTCTCGAGGTATCGGCCTCGTCAGATACAGTGGAGAACGTAACTGACCTCTTTCGTCTCTATCTGAAGTCTTCTAAAGGCCAAAAAGGTTCTATTAAGGCCGTATTCTGGTACACTTCAAGTGCATGTGTTACTGAAAACCCTAGCCTTATCTTTCAGAGAAAATAATAGACTATTCATAGTATGAAACTCTAACGGTGGATATCATACCTCAATTGACATACACATGAAAAAGAAAGAAATATTCCCCAGTGTTGTTTCTGTAATTTTCTATTGGATAGGTCACGCCATTGTCAACATTCACCTGACTATAAATAAACCCATGTACATGGGGGTCCTCTCCTCAGTACTCGAGAGTGAGAGCCTTAGGGTTTCTGCCCTTATAACATGCTTCTTCCTCCTCGGAGACTTTCTGTGTGTGTGAATTGAGTACTCGAGTGTGAAATTTACCAGTTTAAGCTTCTTTTTCTACTCTCTTTTTTGGGTTTTATTTCTGGGAGAAAATGGGTTGCCATGGTTGAGATATATGCATCTGTCTCTCTCTCTCTCTCTATCTATCTATCTATATATATATTTGTGTGTGTGTGTGTGTGTGTGCCTGTGTGTGTCTTTCTAGGGTTTAGACTTTAGATAGCTGTATCTGAGACTCAGTGTGGTTCAGTGATTTTACCATGATCAAGATGATTTTATGTTGCTTCTTTTTTCTTCTTGTGAAATTTAATCACTTGATTATTTGTCAATTCTAGAACTCATGGAAGGCTGTTTCATGCGGTGTTCTTCTGAAATTAGTTAGTTTTCAGAGCGCACACACACACATCGATGTATCAGATTTTCTCAAAAAAAACAAAAAAAAAAAAAAAAAAAATGATTTTAGATTGATTTTCGTCTTCTTCTTCTTCTTGGTTGTTTTTATCTTTGTTGTTGTTGTTGTATAGCTAGGTTGATCTTGTGACTGTACAACAAACGTGTCGTCTTGATTAATGTTACAGACATTAATAGTGTTTGATAGTTACAGACAAATGATGGATATGAAAAAAAAGAAATGTTGAGGATGATGATTTCGAATCAACTTTCGAAGACTTCGAAAAGTACTTCACATCATCAGATCCTTCTTTCCTTTCATTAGAAAACCTTCTTAAGGACAAGACCGAAAGTTTGCCATTATTTGAATCCAATTCTGAAAATGGATTAAATCCAACTATTCCGATCCCTTATTCCGGCAGATCAATCGTCAGTCAAAATGTTCCGGCCAACGGGCAGAACTTTCTTCCGACTTCTGGGTTTATAAATATGCCTTCCGGTGGCCATGGTACCATCAGCTCAATGTCGGACTCAACTCCACCAGTTGTTAGCCAATTTAGTCCACAACTCATAGAGAACACTCTCCCTTATAGGATTATCAATTCAATGCCAAACTTCGAGCCACCACAAGCTCTCAGCCTAAATCTTTCATCAAATAGTGTAAACAGTCTCTTGGACAGTTTTAAGTCTTCGAATCAGAAGGAAAGAATCAATAGAATGCCTTCTTCTATACGATTGATAGGCGTGGCAATGGCATTGCCTTGACCACGAGGGGGTCATCTTCTATGGCACCCCCAACTCGGCCACCAAGGCACGTCCTTGGAAAACAACCCTTGCCACCACCACCACTACTTTCAGGTGGTGCAGGTCAAGAAGGTCGATGGAGGATCAGAAAGACGCCTCCGGCAATGCAGGAGGAACCTGCAGAAACTGATGGACAACGGTTGAAGAGGTATAGATCAAAAATATGTATATATCTTGTCTCCATGTTTTTTATTATTTATATGAGATGTATCCCGTAATGGCAGCTCTTTAGTTGTTACTTACTTAGGGTTTGGTGCAAGTTTATTTATCGATCGAATAATGCTATATGAATTTAAAAACTAAACTTGATAATCTCAATCATCGAATAGATAATTTTGAGATTATCAAGGTTAATTTTTAAAACTACCTTTTAAATACATGTAACATTACTCTTATCGATTTTACGTATTTAAAATATTCATATTATTTCATTGCTAGTTGAGCGTCACATGCGTAAAACAGTCCATCACACAAGGGTAATGAAATCTCATTCTCTAACTTGCTCTTTATGCTAGTTGGACTATTCTGGCTGAGTTGGATGGTCGGGGAATGCATAGTATTGCCAATACTTTTAAATATAAACATTCTATTTGTGAAAAATATGTGTATTAATTTATGTAAGAGAAGCATAAGAAATGGTACAAAAGTGTTTAAGGTTACAAGTTGAGCATATGTAGAGCACATTATCATAACATTTTGTACAGCTGAATGGCTGCACATATTAATCTACATGATATTTATTGTGAGTGGACAAATAGAAGCTCTGAAACATATACCTCTAGGGATACTACTCTTTGCTAAAGGTTTGCCTCCGCTAGCCAGCTCCACATCTGTTGAATACTCTTATGTTCTATGTTGATGTTTATCATTTCTTGGTAATTAATGAAAAAAATCATTACAACCACCTCTCTTACTGATGTTAAAACTCAAAGTTACAACAAAAACAGTGGGATGCACGCAATCCCCGCTAATCACGTGCATCATGTTACATACAATTTTATATGGCCAAGAAAAACTCAAATTTAAGATGTCTAAATCCACAAATGGACTTTTATATCCAGCAGTGTGTTTGGGTTCTTGCTGGCCAGATCCACCTTTGGAATTTTGTTCAAATATAATAGCTTTGTGATGTATGTAATGTCTCCTTCTTTCAACTAACTATTATGTCATTCATAATAGAATCGTGATCAACCGGGAGCCGACTATTGAGGCAAAGGAGGAGAAGAGGTGTGTCTCTGTTCGAGCTTGACACAAAAACAAAAAAACTTGCAAGCAGAATCCATGAACTTTTCTGC